AAATCCGGCTGAGCCAACCCAATACACTAACTCAGAGCTGTCTTTGGTTTGAAAACTTGTTCTTTTGTTTTCATTGCTATTGATGTTCCTCTAAGAAAGAACTGAAAGATGAGGACTGAAAAAAGGGAAAGCGAGCACTTTGTACAAGCACCAAAAGTCAGGCTGTGTTGCCTCTCGACAGCGGTGGTAGTTTGTGGCAATGCCCATGTGCTTGTCTGGATTCTCAGCAACACAGATACTCCGGCTGCTTGCTTAGTATGTAGGACACTGTGTCAGTTTTGTTAATGTCACTTGTGCTTAAGGCTTTTTTAAAACTGAGTAACAGCATAGCAATGGTAGGGCCAACAGTTAAAAAATGTGACCTTTTGGTGGAGCTCAAAAAAAAGCTTGAAAGACCATCAGATTCCTTCCAGAGCAGAGCTTTGGCTAGAAGAAAATAAGAGTAACTTCAGTCATTTTTTGCACCTGATAAAGGTGATAAAGAGTGGAGGGGGATATTATATTGCCGTAGCAGGACCAGAGAACACACAGAGGGATTCTGTGCCAAGGCCATCTTGGATTCAGTCTGAACCTTTCTCCCTTTTAACCCTTATCAGAGTATGGTGGCAAGTGGAAACTGCTTCATTATTTTGCCCAGAAATTCTTTGCACCACTGCTGCCTGTGGCCTATGAAGACGAAGGCGTGTTGCACATTTATGGTGTCTCAGATCTTCATGCAGACCACAAGCTGACTTTGAAGGTAAGTGACACCTCTTGCCACATTTGGCTTTGAGGGTAAGTGACACCTCTCTCAGCGCCTTTGTGTGTCTCCCACAAAAATGAGAGAAGCTGGATGAGCACATCTTTGTACAGATAAGCTTCAGTAAGTCCGTGCTTAAACACAGCGAGGTGCAGTTCTTGTCTTGTTAGGAGCAACACTATCCTGTATTATAGTAGTGTGGACTGCTTCATGGAACAAGGAATTAATTGCCTTGCTTATAGCCTGGAGGTATAGGCCTGAAATTAACTATTCTGTGGAAATCTTAAAGGGGTTGATGGTTAAATAGATCAAAGTGTAAAAAATGGTACCTCCTTCCTTAAAAAACCTGTTCACTGGGTGTTAGAACTGAGGAAAAAAAGGAAAAGGGGGGGAAAAAAGGATTCTACCATTTCTGGCCAGTATTCAAACTACACTGCTTTGGGAAAAATAACTAAATTATTTTCAGAAAAATCAACAAAACATCTAAGTGTACTTTAATTGGAAGGTCACCTATGCTATGTCACTGTTTTACAATTGATGCCTTAACTATTTTCTGATAATGCTATAGAAACTGTTAGAAATTCTCAGGCAGTATTTAGGCTGCTGAGTTCGTCTTGTAGAACACCATTTTGCTTTTCAAATTGTCACATTTTGTTAACTGTAGGGCAACCAGATCCCAAATGAATGTTGTACTACAAGATACAATTCCTGATATAAGGAGTGTCCCATGTGAAAACGCTGGGAAGGATAGAAAAATAGACCTGGAATGACTCACTAGTCATTTGGGGACTAATAATATGAATAAGTCAATTCCTAGTTCACTACTTTGTCTGGTGGGCTGCCATGAAATTTCAGATTTATAAGGTTACTTCTATATAGTAATATATAATATAGAAAACAGTTGCAATTTCTGGATAGTCAGTAGGACTGCACTTAATGAAATTTTTTCTTTCCTCTCTGAGTTATTGTAACAATCTTATATTCAGATTTTCTGATAATGTCAGAGAAGCATTGGCAGTAGGGTAGTTCTGACGAACACTATATTTTGCACTTCATGAAAATTTGGAACTTAAAACTTTTGAAAGGAGCTAAGTTCTGTTCCTGACTGCAGACACTCGTTAAGGTCAGAGATAACCTAAATTGTATGAAGAAATAGAATGTTATAATTCTCATTGAATGCCTGTCTTCCAAATTATGGTGTTTGGGGTTTATTTTATTTGTTTGTTTGTTTTAATGTAAGAATGAATTCATAATGCATGTGTGATCTCTGGGAATGTATCTTTTACTGTATTAACTTCCATAATGCCTTTTAGGATGATACAGTTTGCTTCTCTTTTAAGCAGAAGCTCTCTATTAAACAGCTGGGTTATATCAGATAACACAGAGCAATCTCAAGAAAATCCTTTGTGTAACTTTTTTTTAATTAGGGAGAGGAGGAAAAAGAGTCAACAAATTAGTCACTTACTAATTCCATTTCCCAGCACTCCCTTGGCAGGAATTGGCAACCCCCTCCTCTCAAGGAGCCTGGAGAAAACAAAAAGCCTAGCAGATCAAGAAAAACAACATACCCAGCCGGTTTGGAAAAGACTTCTTTTTAGGTTTATATACTCTAATTTTTATGCCATATTGATTGTTTAAATCTTTGTGAAATTTCTTGCGAGGTGGCAATCAGCTGGTTCAGTCAGGAGAACATCTCTTGCAATGAGTATTCTGAAACCTAGGAAGCCGGCCTGTTTTCACAGCTCTAACTCTTGTTCTAAGCTTTGCGCTCTCTCAACATGCTTTGTAGGTCGTTGTGCACACCTGGAGTTCTCTGGAGCCAGTATGCACCCTTGCCAAAGAGGGTGTGACTGTTAAAGCACAAAGTGCTGTCCCCATCTACAAGGAGTCCATACAGGGCTTGCTGGAGAGATGCAGAAACTGTACCAGGAAAAGCTGCGTTATTACTTTCTGTCTTGTGGGAGAAGGTGGCTTCCAGAGTCCTACGAACCATCACTTCCTTTCATCATTAAAGGATGCTGTAGGATTAGAAAAGACCCAGCTTAGTGTAAGCATCAGTCATGCTAAATTACTGTATTTGGGCTTGCTAATCTTACTGTTTTGAGTTGCTTGCCTTCTGTGCGGTGTCTCATTCCACCTAATGTTTTTTCCTTAGCTGTTGCAGTTCTAGCTTCCATGTTGAGTTCAAAATCAGATTTACTTTTTTTTTCCTGTGTCACTGCATGCGTATCTAAATAGTACTGGTGAGTTTTTTGTGGGGTTTTGTTTGTTTACTTAGTTTTAAATAGTGAAGTCTCCGTTTCATTTGATTTGATTGTCTTTCATGTGACTGCTGCAGCATTGCTCCTTTCGTTCTTTGTGTTCCTAGATAGCAAATGGCATCGTGGCAAATGTTCTGGCTTGCCAACAGGACACTATGACAGTACTGGGTGATGCTAGTTCAGTTGTGTGTGGGGTGCATTGCTGTCAGCAGTATTTCCTCTTGAAGTGCTCCCACTGTCAGATCAGTGCACCATTGCTACCAGGCGATATCGCATGCTCCTTTCCTCCCCCTGCAAATCCCTGCCCTCTGGCGAAGGGTTCTGATTTGCATAACAGTGATTATTTCTTAATATCTGATAAGTGTGTCAGTGTTCTGAACAGGCAAAAAAAAGGATCAGCGTTGTGTAACACTGTCATTTAGTCCATTTGCTGCTTTTCCCTAGATTTCTTACACTCCCAGCAAATGTGCTCTGTATAGAGAGAGCAAGCATACTCTGTGTGTATGTGTACACACACGCATTTTGTACTCGCTTCTTAGCATGTAAATCTTACTGCAAAATTCTTAATCAGCAGGTTGGCAGCACAGGGACCCGTGTGTTCTCACATGTGGCTTCCAAACTGCAGCTTTGTGCTTTAGAGCTAAACTAAACAAGGAGGGGAATAGAGGTCTTTAATCTCTTTGAATCTGGACCAGCATAATTGCTTTACAAAAAGAAAATGGGCCAGATTTTCCCCTCTTATCTCTTTCATGGTAGCGTGGTCTGCCTCCTGAGTATACAAAGGAAAGAAATCAGCCTGTTTTTATTTTTTTTTCAGCTGGTGGCACAATCTGGAGTCTGAGTCATGCTGGGTTTTTTTAGGTTGGGGGTTTTTTTTGGTGGATGACATCATCAATAATAAAAGCTCTGCAACTAGAGCATCGGGAAATTTCACTCCTTTTTCCCATGGCTGTATAGTCTCCACAGTACTAACTAATAAGGATAGCTAGCAAGCATGAATGTAAAGTGGTTATTTTAAGAAAGTGTGCAGTTGTGGTTTAAAAAAATATTCTGTTTTGGAGAAGCTGGTGCTTCTATAGGTAGCTACTAGTAAACTAACTAGACTTTCAAATACATTACTAATCCAAGTGCTACTCTTCATAGTATTGCTTTTAAAAAACATGAAGACTTTAGTGTTTCTTCAGAAAACACAAAATGTAAAGGTTGTATGCCTTTCCTTAAAAATGAAGTGTGTTGTCTTCTAAGCAGGGCATGTTTTTTGCACTTAATATAATTTGTCTGCTTTTAATATGTAGTTAATTAGTATTTGAAAATGAGGTAGCATAATATTTTGTGATGGTGAATGGAGAGTGCTGCATGAAAATACATCCTGATTGTGCTTTTAAGCCTCTCAGATTAACTACTGATAGACATTAATATAAAACATTATATCTTGTCCTGATAGTTCACAACACAGCTGCCTTCTAAATGTAATACAAAGACTTCCATTAAGATGATGTGACCTCCAGTCTTACCGTGATTTTTACCATCTTACACTTCTGTGTATTTCTATTACTGATGTAATTGGAAGGGCCAGCTACTCTAGTAGTTGTGAATTTATAGGCTGAGTAAGGTATATTGGTGACAAATTTCTTTCACTGCAGTAAGTATAGGATACCAGTATTAGGTATAAGTCAGATTACCATTTATTCAGTTATTTCCCTAAGAAGGTGGTAGAGGAAATAGCACTTCATGGCAGTTTTCCACAATCCGTAGTATTCTGTAGGAAGTCTATAATAACATCTGCAGGCTTTACACGGTTCTTACATATGAATCCAGTTAGTTTGACCTTTTGTTCCAGAACAGAATATTTATTTTGATCAAATGTGGTTGTTCAGTCTGTTTTACTGATAAAGAGGTCTTTCCCAGTTTGGGTATAACTGGCTGCTTCTTTAACATGTATATGTTGTTTAATTATTTTTTTTAAATTTCTCTTCTAGGCCTCTGTATCTCAACAAGATGACATTTACAAATTTGTTCTTCAGACCACTGCAGTTGCTCCTTTTGTTTCCCTGGACGTAGGGAGTATAAAAGGCAGATTTAGTGATAATGGTTTCCTCATGACCGAAAAAAAGAAAGTAGTTGCATTTTACCCATGGGAGCCTACCAGTGTTGAAGAACTAGAAAAGTCGCTAACCTTGACCTCTCTGGTGGATGTTATCTGAGTATGCTTCATTTCCTTTTGGATAAGGAGTGAAACAGAAGGAGGAAATAAATTTTAAAAAAATTGATTAAAGTTGAAGTGAGATGACTGGAGAACATACTGTCTGTTCCTGTCATGTGAATTTTAACTGCTGGTTCAGTGTAAAATTACCAACAGCAAAACTTGCTTATATTGTATATGGAGTGCTGAAAGTAACGCATTCTCAGGTAATGGAAAAAATATATCGTGTGTATGAAATGTGAGGGGTGACTTGGTTCAAGAGAGCTGCTCTGGGTTCTCCGATTCGCATGAGATTTAAGTTGTGAATTCATCCAAAGAAAGAGGCAACACAAAGCCATATTTTTTCCAGGTTTGGTATGCTGTAAGTGGAAATTCATCTCTGGGAGTAGGGAGAAGGGCAGAGAGTGAAGCTGGGACCAGCTCCATAGATATATCCCCCAAGAGTGGTTTGATCTTACCAGCACCCAAATCGGGGGAGCACTAGTCCTGCTCTTTCAGATCTATGACTGTCACTATGTCAGGTGTTCCACCTGCCTTCTGCAAGGTAGGCTTCCAGATAGACATGAAGCCTGGGCTGTCCAGTCAGACATCAGGCAGATCTGTTCCCCTTCCAAAAGGGAAATTGTGCAGGAGATTGTTTTCTTCTCTCTTCTCATTGAGCTCTCCTTGAGAGCTCTGCATCTAGCTTTGTCTGTTCACAGAGGGCTGCAGGTACAGTCACAAACTTTTGCTGTTGCAAGGGACCCTGTGGAGTATGACAGGTGCCTGGCTGGGGAGAAGAGTTCACCAAAGGTACAAAGTATGGAGAAGAAATTGTTATATAAGAGGACCACAGCGTTGAAACTGATTGCATTTTCTCTAGTGCATCCATAGACATTGCTGCACAGCCATTCTGTTGTCCCCTGGCATTCCTCATGAGTGGCCCTGGCCTCCCCACTGACCATCTTCTCTTTCCAACAAGCAAAACCTCCACACCTTAATTTTGCTTCTTTATGCGTGAGTTCCCCATAGAAGACACCGTTGACTGATTATTACATCTGGCAGTGTACGGAACTCCTTAGTGCATACCAAGTAATGGGGCTTCACCTTCTATTCTGTTTCTGAGTTGTTTGTAAAATGCTTAGGTTTCCCATAGAAATGTCATCTCACTTTGGCATTTGATACAAAGGAAATAAGCTTGCTTCAGCATGAGGGGCTACTCTAGCCTGTGGAGCTGAACGCCTGACAGCTTGGTTGTCAGGAAGTCCAGGCCACTGACCCATGCTGTTGGCAGGCTGCTAAACACTGGGTTTGCCTCTCGGATGTGGTTTGAATTGCAGTTGCGATCTTGCAAAGGATCCTCTCAGAGTCCAAGCAAGTATTATTTTTTTTGCAAAGCGCTTAGCAGAATCAGCACTTTACAGGAGAAGGTGTTTGAAGAAGTTCTACTGGTGATGCCCACCTTTGTCATGAAAGTACCATGGATGTGATGCTTGCTGGGGGTCTGGAGAATGTGTTGGGAGAATGGATGTGTGTTCCACTGGTTGGTTAGAGAACTTGGAACTGGGGATTGCTATTTGCAGTCATCATAGTTTTAATGGGCAAAGAGATGAGCGTGTTGACCAATGCTTGGCAACCTCAAGTGGTTTTTGAACTGGATGTTAACCAAAACTGGCATACCATCAAGCAAGAGGAAAAGCTTGAAGATGAAGGAGAAATAAGTGGAAGTTGCTTACAAATGCTTTATTAGGTCACCAAAGCAGCAAAGTGCAGTTGCACAGGAGGGCATTTCTGATTCAAAACTTGTCGCAGTGGAAAGAAAACATGAAAGCGATCACGGTACGTATGTGTCAATGTTTATGTAAAATAAATAGGTAAAATGATAGTCATCTATAAAACTTAAGAGTTAGAAAATGCAGGCATTGATAAAGGAATTTAAAAGTTACCTGAGAGGCATCCCTGGCCAACAATACAAGAAAAATCTGTTATTTTTTTCAGTGCCGTGGAATACAAGTGAAATGAAAGAAGCAATGGAGTACGTATAAGGTAAGGATGAAAAAAATGTGGAGAAAATGTGGAATAAATACGAATAATAAATATTGCTGCAGTGCATTAGGAAAAGGGCAGGTTGGTTGGTGATGTCTTTCTCTTACAATGATGTAAAAATGTCTCTTGCAGCAACTTTTAGAAAGGATTTCAAGACGGCAATTAATAGTGTTAAATTAATAAAAGTTTGACAGAACTATTTGTTTCAAAGACAGTCAAGAGGACTACCTGAATGTCAGTGACATTTGTTCTTAGTGCATCTCAGAATATTAGTGAAGTTTTAGAGATGTAGAAATGAGCTTTTGGATTGCTAGAAGCCATAAATCATGATTTTGGAGAACTATGACCTTGTTTAGCCTGTCATGAATTTTAGGCAAAATCATGAAAGAAATGATGTGGTAAATGATCAATAATTGATGAAGTGGCTGTACTATTAATGCCTATCAGTGCTGTTACACAATTGTTTTCTGCATGTCCTGGTTTCATCTAAATGGAACCAGTTCTGTGCAGTGATTTTACTGTTCAGCTGAGCCTCTTCTAAGAGACTGCACTTTCTGAAGTTAACAGCATGCTTTTGCAGACAGTGTCTCCTTCTAGAAGGGAGATAACTCTTGATGTTTATAGTTACTACCAAGGATCACTATGCAGAAAGGCTCGTGCTTATACTTGCTTCTCTGGTAACCAATCACAGAATCATAGAATGGTTTGGGTTGGAAGGGATCTTAAAGATTGCGCCTCCAGGGAGGATCGGACAGGAGAGGTGACCCAAAACTGACCAACAAAGCTATTGCGTTCCATATACCTCATACTCAGTATACATCTGAGGGATCCAGGGGGGTTAAGCCCTCTTCTTCAATTGCCATCCTCCAAGAAGAACACAGTCCATTCTTCTGACCTTGATCCTGATCCATGAGTTCCCAAATGTAGCTCCTGTGTCTGGTTTCCTTCTGCTGCTGAGCCTGGCACTTTGCTGGTGCCTGCCTGCTCTGCAGCATCAGTGGTGATTGGTATCGGGACGGGGTAGTTGGGTTTGATACTGGGTTTGTATATATTTGTATGTATTTCTATTATTTTCATTATTTCCTTATTAGTACTATCATTGTTTCATTCACACTGTTTTAGTTTTCTTTTCCAATCCCTAAGTAAGTCCCTTTATTCCCTTTACCCTTCCTTTTTGGGAAGGGAGAGGAGTTAGAGAGGATCTGTTACTTGTTTAGTGACCAGACCAGCCCTAACCCTTGACACTGCAGTTACAAGATTGGCATAAAAAGGCTCAGACAATTTTTAAATTATTGTTATTTTTGAAGGTCAGAAGCTCCTTTAAGAATGGGTCCATTCTTTCTCACTGGAAAGCTTTAGTTGAGCACTAGGTGCTATTGTGAAGGATTAGCAATTGCTTAAGCCAAATGTTTGAGCTCAAAACAGAATTCAGTGGGGGAGGTTCACTTCCGTTATTGTCCTGATATCTTTATTATGTTCTTTTGGCTTCCTGGTGTTGTAATAGGTACATACTTATAGATGCTATTTTCTTCTCTCTGCTGTGCAGCAGTGGCTGTAACATGCACCTTGCTTAACCATTTCCCCTTGCGTATTGAGCTCTACTTGGTTGAGTTGTTCTGCCTTTGTCTTAGGTCAGGGCGAAGATAGGAATGCAACAGTGAAGACATCTTCGGAGTATCCATCGCTCCTATTCACACATCCATCTGTAGCCAGCTGTGTTGTTGCAGCTACTTGGCAGCACCTTGATTTCCAGTTGTACCAGATGGGCTGGGGATCATCAGCAGGAGCATTTGGTAAGTACCATGGTCACTGTCATCAAATTGTTGGTGGCAACAGTAGAAGTGAATAGCCTCATCAGTATTTTTTCAGGGTGCAGCCTTGCAAGGTTCTGTTTGAGGGCTCACTGGGTTTGCTTGTGCTGATGGCTTTTGCTTCCAGGCTCCCAGCTAGGTTCTTCTCCACAGGTAAAAAAAGCAGCAGCGTTCCCCTCGTCAGGAGCCATGACAAATGCTCTACCAGAACAGAACTTGAGAGCAGGCTTTGGGAGAAATCTGTATGGCATTGGCTAATTTGTTGTCCTAAAACTGGACTCTGGCAGAGATTTGGCTCTGAACACATTCAGGACCTGCAGAGACCATTAGAGGGCACTTCTTAGTTGCTCCTTTCTGCCACACAAGGAAGAGTTATTTTGCTCCAGTTTACTCTAGTACTCCCTTTGAAGCTTTTCCAAGTTCTACATCTTTTTCCAGAAAAGCAGCAAGTGAATGTACCTGAAGTGCTTCTCTAAGAAAGTGTTCATAACTCTTTGTCAGTCTTTGTTGTTACCTGCTGTTTACATACCTTGGGGCATGGATAATTTTTCTGCCTCAGAGTCGTGTCTTTTTTCAGTACTTTTACTTCTATTAGTTCCCTTTTGTTTTTGGAGACATGCAGCAGAGACCACTTCAGCAACCTGTAGCTGTGCCAGGTGCAGAGGAACAGGACAGCTTCTTATTCTCAGTAAAGGACAGTTTGGTTTTGTAGCTTACAAGCCAGCCTGTATGTTGTCAGAATTGCAGTTTTCTTTCTTATCCTCCAGGGGGGTAAGCTGAGTCATCCAGGAACTTGTGGTTTGAATGTTTAAGGACATGTTCTAGTCAAAGAACCAGGTTTACATAACTGTTTTCCAGTCAGATGTTACAAGATAGAAAAATGAAGGCCTCAGTTCTGTTAAATTAGGGTAGAAAACAAATCTTAAGTGAAAAATACAGGACCTTAATATTGCTTGGGTTTTGCCTCTGCTAACATTGAGGAAAGGTCATTTTATTGTGGGAAGTAAAGTCAGTTAGTAAAGACCTATAAATGTCAGTTTTGATTATTAGTGTGCATCATAGTCAAAATAGAGGTGTCCTTGGTCTAGGCCATCACAGCAAAAGAAATGTGCTGCAGCATGAACTGAAACAACACCCTGAGGACTAGTCAGGAGGAAGGTGCTGA